ATTTTTTATTTGCATTGCTCTCTGTCATTTTATACTTCGATTTATTCTTTCATTTTATTTAATACTTCGAGTAAAATTGGTTAAAGTTAATCTTACAACTTTAACTTATGTCTTTTGGAAACTGCAAGCTATTAAAGTTTTAGTCATAATCCACGAATAGACATATAACCATTTCAAAGAAAGTCTTGAAAAGTAATTTGCTTTTGAGTTTTGAATATCAACATAATATTTATGATTAAACTGTAATCAGATTTGTATATGAATATAAATTTTTATTTTCAATAAATTTCTTATATATAGTTTAATAAATGTTCGAAATTTAATTTTTAAATAGTTTTCTTAATTTATTTTTTTATTGAATTAAGCTAAAATTTAAATGACAGTATAAAATATCACAGAATATCTTATTAAAAATATTATAACTTTGTACAGAGAAATTTTATTTTTTAGTAACATTTCATTAATTCATAGTAAAATGAATTAATAAAAAATTAAATGTATGAGCCGAACTGTGAGACCAAAAGTTAATTTGTGTGAAGAATTTTCTTAGAAAAGAAAAATTATATATTGAATTGTAATGATATAAACTTATAATTTAGAAAAATATCCAAAAATCATAAACAATACTTTATTTTAAAAACACCTGTAATATTACTATTATTTATGTTAACAATAATTTCATTTTATTACGAATGATTCTATTTTATGCAACAACTTGTATTTTCTTTCAAAGAATTTATTTTTAAGGAATTTCTATATAAAAAAATTCTATTCCCTAAAATCTGAATTGATCCTTTTTATCATGTTGTTGACATAGCTTTTAAGTCTTAGGCGGCTTTGATAGGAACAAAATTCTAAAAATCCCATGTTGTTGGAAATGTATTTATACAACATATAAGTATCTGTTATCAATAAAATAACAGAATGGCAAGCATTATCACATTATAAGACAACCTATCATTCATGGCATTCCTCCCAAGAGAATTTAATTTCTTTTTTGATCTTTCTCTGCTAATGTTTCGTAAAGTTTCTTATTTAATTCCGCAGTAAATTAGATCAAATCTCAAAATAAAGAATAATAATAATAAAGAACGAAGATTTTAAACACATTATTATCAAAGGATTACAAAATAGTGTACGGGNCATATTAATAAAAATACATTCTTGAAATCCTTCAAGCAACTTTATATTAAAATATAAAATGATTGTATGTGTGCAAACGGGTGGAAGTTTTTCACCACGGTATTGTTGCAGCTACTTTTATGCTTTCATAAATCATCTTAATGCTTAGTTCTCGAAACTTAACGACGCGATGTTTTGATTAAGTGGTGAACAATAGTTTTTGTTCTAGTATTTTTTTATTTTTATTTTCCTTGAAAAATGTTCATTTTTTATAGAGAAGAGAAGGAAGATACACTTTATGACTAGAGATTTCATTTAATCAAAATCTAAATCGACATATAATCACTTTAATTATATGTTATTACCTTATTAAATGTAAACATTTGAAGTAATGTTGTTCATTTATTATTAAATCTCTTCAGTAAAAATATTAAAAAAGATAATTTACCGTTTATTTTATTTTGTCTACAAGTTTAATTTTCAGAAATATAATAGGTGGAAATTCTAGATTTGTTTGTCCATTCAATTATAGAAATGCGAAGAATTTTTGTATGATTTTACGTAATGTTGTTCATTTATTATTAAATCTCTTCAGTAAAAATATTAAAAAAGATAATTTACCGTTTATTTTATTTTGTCTAAAAGTTTAATTTTCAGAAATAAATATAATTCCATTTATAAGAAGAGAAAATGATCAGAATTGGAAAATCTCTCTCGTCTAAATACCAAAAGACTAATTGAAACATTGCTTAACTAGGATTTGTTTCCAACGAACTGTTATTGCTCTGTTGACATGGGTTAGTTGTTATGGTATCTATTCTAGAAAATACAACAGCTTAGAACTTCCATTCTATGGCTTATCCATAATATCTTTAAGCCATTAGTAAATTTCTTTAACTACTTTCTAATACTCTTTTCTATATTTAAGATTTATAGCAGATATCCTTTATAAGCTTTATAAATTCATGTAATTTCTTTTAAAATTATCTCTGATAATAAATATTATACTATAATTTCAGTAAAATTATATATTGATGCTACAATAATTTTTGGAATTTTATATTATCATCGTTAATATAATAGAATTAGTTAATATTTTAATTAAAGTTACCTTTGCCAAGCTAAAAATTAATTCATTTGTAACTTACTAATAAAATTAAACATTAAAATTAAACTTTATTCAATTTGAAACGAAACATATGAATTTCACATGATAAAATTGACTTTATTCAATAACGAACTTTGTTTTATAGATTGTAACTTAATTTTAAATATTTTATTATTTAAGCAAAGTCTATTAAAACGCATTAAATTTTTAAAAATACATAAAAGAGTTACAAGCATTTGAACTTCAGTTTTTAAGTCTGCGCATTGATTATCTGCCAGCCTGTGCTCTTATAACTCCCAATCGATCATGCTTGTCGTCTAGTAAGCAGCCATCCTGTCTGACTGAGGTTAAACCTTAGTAGATTTTTCTAGTTTAATAAGGCGAGAGATGATTCGACACTTAAATAGCAGAAGTCCTATTGATTTCTTATACTTTACCAAAGTTCATTTTTAAGTTCAAATTTCTACAAATTTACATTTAATATAAATTAGTTGTGCTAATTGAAATAAATATTTTATAAATATTTTAATTTTAAAAGTGAAAAAAATAGTGTAAATTAAATGTAATGAAGTTTATTTTTTAATTAAAATCTTTAAAATGTTTCCGATAAATAATGTTAGAGAATAAAAATACAAGAAAGTGAGCTGCTATTGTTGAAAAGTCGTTAGCATAAAAGACGTATTGTGTACTCTTTCACTTTGTGTTGAGAGGTTCATATAAGTAATTATAATTGAAGTGTCCTTAAAAGGCACTCTGCTAGTAAAGAGAATTAAGTAACTATACATTCAAATGCCAGAAGGTTTGCCCACATTATGGACTGTAAATTGTTCATAATAGGACAACATTAAACTACTAGGAAAAATATAAATGAGTATTTTAATTTTAATAAATTTTATTTAATTTACTACGAAAAAAATTACTATTAAAAATCTTAAATATTAATTAAACGAGTATGTTTTGTACAGTATGTTGCTAAAGGATGTAGTTATAAGATGGGTATAAATGTATATTAATTTTTCATTGAAGATATAGAAATGAAAAGACGATGAGACAGTCATTTATCAACAATAAATTCTTGTTCTGTAACTATTGTTCAAGTCAATGGTAACGCATGTCATCTTAATGTGGAGTTACCTTTAATAGATTTTTATATTAATATATGGATGATGTAAACTGTCGTTGCGATACAACAAAAATTAATATTTCACATAAGTTTTCATTTAATTAACATTAATGAAATATTACTGTATAAATTCGTACAAGTTCAAATTTATGTAAGTTTTAATCAGAATAATTACTCTTATAAAATGGTTAATTCAGGAAATACATTTCTTAAATTTATTTGTGATGAAATACTTTAAAAGTAGAGGTTATTAAATTAAATTTTCGCCTTAAAAATCTAGAAAAAAAAATTGATAAATGCTTTAAAATAAGAATTAAATATATATATATATATATATTATCAAAGATGTTTAATATAAATAAATAAATAAACTAATAAATAACAAAATCAATAACA